CCTACACAAGGCCTTAACACTGTTCCTGAACCAGCCAACAGGGGTGCCACTGAGCTATGAACCCTGGGCCAACCCTCCTGTATATTGTACCTGTATAATTAGCCATGTACATAGTTGTATCACCTAGGCTGAGGTGAACCTGCCCCAAGAGAAAGCAGGGACCCAGACTGTGGACAACCATAGAGCGCTGGCCAGCAGCCAACCCCAGAGCCAGGGGCCCTTCTATCCTCCCCATTGCTATTGGACACTAGAATAGAGTACACTGGGCCAATCCCAGTAAAAGTCCATTGCTGGTATCCCGGGTCTCCCACCCAGCACTACTTGCTCTCTCTGGGCTGTGGCAGAGTCCCCTGAGTAAAGGAGCGGTTTGGGGGGGGGTGATCTATCTGTATTGAAGTGGGGAGCCTTGGCTGTGGAAGTATTAAGAGCACGCGTGTCTGAATGTGTAGACAGGAGTGCCTGAGGATAGTGTGCGTGTATGTCTGTGTCTGTCTAGGATGTGTGTGTGTTTATGCACAACCCCCTATGCACACACAGCCAGGCCCTTTGCCCTGTCAGGGATTGCAGTATGGCTGCACCAGGGTCTCAGGGTCCCCCAGCCCACACACACATATATATACACAGGCTTGCTCTCTCTCTCGCTCTTGCTTGCTCTCTCTATATATCTCTTTCTTGCACTTCCTCTCTCCCTCATCCCTGCTCCCTGGGTAGCTGGTAGAGCCCCCCCTTCCCCAGGGCCTGAGGTTAATGCTGGCCTTGTACACCGCTTGTGCCCTGTCTGGCTGGCTAGGATGGCTCCATGCCCGTGGGCCAGAACATCTGGCTTTGGAGGCCCAACTGGGACCCGACACAGGCGGCACAGCCATGGCAACAGCTGGGTCCACCCCACCCACTCAGAAAGGGACCCGTCCCCAAGGGCTGCCCTGTGCCCAGGTGGCCCATGGCAGAGGCAGGAGCAGTGCTGTAGGAGAAGGGCCCCATTGCCAGGCCCAAAGGGGTTAAACAAGTGCTTTGGGCATGAAGTATCTTAGCATGGGCGTGTGAGCTGGGCCACCCGGGGCTGCAGGTTGTGGCTGTGAGGCCTTGATGAGGGGTTGCTTGGGAGATGAGGGACAGCAGGCCAAGGGGCAGATGGCACATGTGTGGGGAGGAAGGGGACAGCCAGATGGGGAAAGGGGAGCTACACTGAGGAGGGCCCCAAGGCCTAAGAAACACCAGACCCCTCATTCCCCACAGCCCCCGTTATAGAGCGGGCAGTCTGCAGGCATCTTCTGACAACTCACCTCCCCCTGACAGTGTCCCCATGTGTGACCTCCCACATCAGTCTCTGGCTTGAGGGAGGGGGGTCTGTACACTGTAGGTAAAGAGGCAGCATTTGTGTTGCTGAAATGTGCCCCATGGAAGCTTGTTTGTATGTAACTTGCTTCCCTGCTCTCCCCCCACCCCTGGGCTGACTAGGTTGACTCATGGTGGGGATGCAGTGCCAGCCGCCATGCACACAGGGCATACACACACATTCACACACACCTGCCACCTAGCACCTAGACCTGCAGCCCATGCTCATGGCAGAGGGGGCCGTGCCACCCCAACCCCTGCCCTGGCCAGCCACAGCTGTGGGGGGGCAGCTCTGTGTCTTATCCGTTGGTCTCTCCGTTGGTGTCGCACGTCCAGTGTTGCTCTCCCTGGCCCCAGCCCACTGGAGAGGGCCCATCCCTCCCCTAACTGCCCCCTGCCCCCATGCTGCCAGCCTGGAATGGGTGCGCTGTGCCCTCCTGCAGCTCTGCCCAGCAGGGAGGGAGCAGGCAGATTGCAGCACTAAACCCCCCAGGTCATCAGTGCTTGGGTGCCCCGTGGGAGGGTGGGGTAACCCCGCTGAGTGCCCTTTCTGTGGCTTCTGGCTCCCCTGCCCGAGATCCCCCACCCCTACCCCAACTCCTCCGTCTCAGTATTCAGTCGCCAAGCACATACCTCATAGCTCCTGGAGATGGTACCTATCCTCCCTCCCTTCTCCCCCACTGCTTCCTCCCCCTCCCAGCCTGGCACATGGGGCAGGTAGGGGGGGCGTAGTTTGTCCCTCAGGTGCAGCTTCAAACCCAGCCAGTCTCTAGAGAATGCAATCTCGCTTGGATTAGAGGGGAGGGGACACAGCGGGGGGTGGGGGGGAGAGACCCATTCCTCCCATACCCCATGTACTATGCATCGTGGCCCCTGCCCCAGCGTTGGGGATGTGGAGGGGAGGGGCGGGGCATGGCAGGGAGTTACTGAATGTATGTCGGTGTTTGGGTCTCCGTGCATTTCGGAGGTGGGGGAGGTGGGGCAATGGAAGGGGTGGCACCCACCAGAGCCTTGGGTGGTAAGACCACCCTCTCCCCCCTTGCCCTTCCCCCCACCCACCTGCCCTCCCCTACCCCATGGGAGGGAGGGGGGCCAGGAGGCCGAGAGCTGCTGATGTACATGACAATCACAGTGTCTGTGACGTGCGATTTTAAACCCTTTGTGTTTTTGGTCAGGATTTTAAAGAAAGATATTTTTATGGTAATTGTTGCTGGTCTATTTTACTATATATTTATGTAATAAATATATGATGAAAAAAACAAACCCACCCACACAGCCCAGCTGGCACCTGGCCTCTGCTTTCTATCTGTCTGTCTGGTCACCAGGTTGTGTGTGTACCCCTTGTGGGTGGCACGTGGCTGGGGGAGCAAGGGGGGGCACGACAGAGGGTCCTTGTGCCCTGGCTTTTGTGGCACTGCCCAAGTCAAATTTGGGCGTGGATGCTTGAGGGTGGAAAGGTCCCCACCTGGTAAGGAGCCGAGGTCCATGGTGCATCCTGGGAGTAGCAGAGCTGGCCTTGTGCTGCTGGAACAGCTTTGGTAGTCCTTGGCTGCACTGGTGGCAGCTGCAGCAAGCAGGGGGTGCCAGGGTGGACTGTGTGTCCTACAGGGCACAGGCAGCGCTAGGGAAATCATGCAGCCCTTCCTCCTTTCTGCAGGAAGCAGTGATGAATGGGCAGCTGGGGGGCAGCAAGCCCTTCCCAATCCACTCCCCTCCAGCATCAATTTACCACACACTGGTGATGGGAGGCCAGGCTGAGTCCATGGACACTCTCGCCCTCTGAGTTGGAGCAGGAGATGCTGCTTGGACAACCCCTTGCCTCCTCTGTCACTCCTGGCAACATGCCACTTGCAGAGGCTGAGCCAGTATTGAGGGTATGAGTGACTCCTGCCTGGGGATGGCAGGGTGACCATCGCCCACACCTCTGCAGCTGCTGGAGCAACATGTGGGCTTTGTGCCACTGGAGACTGGAACACACTAGGGTCCTCTTTGGGCTGAAGGTGCCAGAGCTCTGCAAAGTGAGTCCTGGCTCAGCATGATGGGGACATAGGCAGGATTAGCAAAGCAGCTGGGGACAGAGCCCCACAGTCCACCCAGCTCTGACCGTCAGCACCCCCCACCCCCATGACTTCATAGTGCCACCCTGCTCCCCTCCAACAACAGACATGAGAACCCAGGTGTCCAGACTGTCAGCCCCTCTGCTCCAACAGACCAGGTGAGCATTGCGTGCAATGGCAGATGGCCAAATCCTCAAGGGACTGGGGCACAGGGGAGGGCCAGAGGTGATCTTTGACCCCTGGATGTGGGGCTGGAAGTGGGGTGGCCACGGTTGCTCAGGAAGGGGCTGTCCAGGCAGAGGCATTGCTTTAAATATATTATTCCCTGCGGGGCTCCGGGCCTCCACAGGGCAGCGGTGTGAGATCCACAACTCCCATATACACAGGTCAGTATTTACAGAGGGACCCTCGGCCCGGGGAGGGAGGGTGGGGAGGGGGCGCGGGGGTCCGTGTCCTCGAGGAGCAGTCAGTTTAGTTGTGGTATAGTCTGGCTGGTGTCCCTCAGGGGCTGGGGGGAGGGCAGGGGCCCTACTGGGCATCAATGCGAAAGGAGAGCAACTTCTCAGAGTGCAGGTTGTTGAGGGTGCGCAGGTCAGGCAGCTTGAGCAGCAGCTTGGTGAAACGCGATGTCTCTGTGGGGCGGTTCTTCAGAATCAGGGCACGCAGGGCACGGATCAGTGTCTCCTGCAGCTGCTCCACCAGCGCCGTGTCCTCCATGCCGGAGCGGTCTATGGGGAGGGGGATGGACAGGCCGTGAGTTGGGCAGAGAGCACAAGCAGCCCACAGCCCAACCGTGCCACGCTGGAGCCCTGCGCTGTCCCCACCTCCTTGATCTCATGGCAGATCCCTGCAACAGACTCCCAACTCCTTGGTCTCACAGCAGATCCCTGAACTGGGTCCCCACCTTCCTGATCTCACAGCAAATCCCCATCTCCCTGGCCTCACAGCACATCCCTGAACTGGATCCCAAACTTTCCATTCCACTCAGAGCTGTTTTAATATCCCCGTGCCTCCCTACTCCTTTCCCCACCATTGGATCCCTAGCAGTCGTGATCCCCCTCTACCAGTTTTCCCTACTCCACCAGACCCAGGAAGCTGCTTCCTCACAGGGCACTTGCTACCCACCAGCAGAGACGAGCACAACAGCAGTGAAGAGGCCCAGCTCCTCATCGGTGAGCTCCAGGGCGCTGAGCTTCTCGCTGAACTCAAACATGGAGTTGAGCAGGTCACCCATGCCCATGCCCCACAGCTCCTCCAGGCTGTACTTTGTCCGGCTCATGAAGGTCACCGTTTGCTCCTTCACGTTGAACAGCGAGGCAAAACGCACCATCAGCACCTGGTACCAGGAACATGACAGTTGTGATGCTCTGGGGCAGCCTCTGGGCCCACCTGCCCCCCTGCCTCTCTGCAGCCAAGGGGTTCCCTGCCAGAAGAGGCAGCCAGCCCAAGAGGGTGTGGAGTGGCAGATCCACAAACCAGCCCTCTTGAAAGGGTGAGTGCCAGCTGCTGGTGGATGGACCCACACATCTGGTGAGCCTGGGTAGAAAGTGGGGACCCGACTAAGTGACTGCTCCCAACAGAAAAAGCAAGTCCTGGGCACAGCTGCTGGCCAGGTGAGCAGGAGGGGGAGCCATGAGGGCCTCTATTAGGGGACCTGTGGGGCTGCCCCGTCCTCCAAAAGGGCTAGATCCCATGGGTCTCTATAAAGAGGGGCTTGTGCAGAGGAAGGGAGGCTGTGCCTATCCCCCACATCTGTAGGTGTATCTGTCCCCCTCTCCATCAGTACCCAGAATATCTACTTTAAAAGAGGCTCTAAGACCAGTTCCTTCACTATGAACTCCTCCCACAGCTGCCCCACTAATGACCCCAGGGGCCACAAAGGCAAGGGCAGTTCTTGCAGCCTCTGCCAGGGCAGCCTACCTCGAAGGTGCCGGCTTTGAGGAGGGCGACTTGGTCATGCTGCGACAGATCCTGGAAGCCTGGGATGTGCTTGGCAAACTCCACCACCTCCCGGACAGCGGGTGTGAAGCTGAGGGAGAAATCTTCCCAGATCTCCTGCACTGTGCGGCCACTCCGGCCAGATGGGTGCATGTTCATGGGGCAAGCCTGCAGTAAGAAAGGAGAGGGGGAGACCAGGACAGGAGTGTCAGTTACAGGCCAAAGTGCAATGAGATGAGTCACCCACTACAGCCAGTGCCAGGGGAGGGTGGCAGCTGCCCTGTCCCCCACAGCTCTTAAACTGATCCTGGCAAAAGGCTGCTCCCATTCAGCATGGGCAAGGTTGGACTTTGCACAGAGAAATCAGAATGTCACTCAGACCCTTGGGACATGGGGTGGGGGCCAAAAGACCCATCTCTATCCCTGCCTTCGTGGCCCCTTGGGTTATCCAAACCCAGGAGAAATGTGACCCCAATCAGATCTAACCTACAACCTCCTATGGTGACCAGCCTGCTCACTTTCACTTTCTGGCTGTTGGTTCCGCTCCAGGCCACTGGCTGGGAACCAACTAGGCTTGGGAACCTTTGGGGACCATCAGAGGAATCTCGCCATCAGATCTTTCAGTTTCCAACACTGTTAAAAGGCCCCTGATCTTGGCTGAGCCCCTACTCCCCTGCCTGCCAGCCCCCACCTTGTGGAGATCAGCACTGCAGAGCCACAGACAGGACAGTCCGTGCCCGCCTGGCGTCAGAGACAAGGCGATTACTGGGGATTAGAGAAGCGAAATATACCCCTGGGGTCAGCAGCTCAGGGGCACTTGTCCCAGTTGGGCTCCCCACTGTGGGGCACTGGGACTCACCGGCAGGATGTCCTTGGTGCCTCTCTGCCACCGGCTGCCCTGGCCGGCCAGCGTCTCGGCCTCCTGGGCAGAGGAGGGGTAGGCGGAGGGGCAGAGGCGATGCCCATTCATGTTGTTCTGGTGGCAAGCACTGGGGGTGCTGGCATGCCAGGTGGAGAAACGAGGGGTGTCGGGGTGGGGTAGGTTGTTGTTGTCGTGGCGATAGAGACCACTGGCGTGGTACCCATTGGAGCAACGGTCGTTCTCCCGGTTGAGGGCGTCATTGTCCCGGGCAGGGGCCGGAGTTGTGCCCAGCTTGTCATGAGCGTAAACGAAGATTTCCTTGTGTGCCTTAGCCACCTGCGATATGACGTCCTCCATGGCGTCCCCGGGGCTGGGGGAGCGTGGGGGTGTCAGCTGCTGTGGGAACTGGGAGAAGCAGGGCTGCGGCAGCAGCGGCTGCTGCTGCTGGGGGGAGGCGGGGAGCTGTGGCTGGGGCTGATGGCAGGGCAGGGGGTTGGTGGGCTGGGGGTGCCCTGCAGGGGAGCCATCGGGCAGGCACTGCCCGGTCAGTTGGTTGTTGGCCATGTTGTTCATGGCACTCTGCATCTCTGCCAGCATTCGCTGCTTCTCGCGCTTGGGGATGCGCCCAAAGCGCACAGCTGCAGAGAGAAAATGGCAGGCATTAGCATCAGGCATGAGGCAGAGTACAGATAGGGAGCCCCAATGCTCCCCTCAACACAAGCAGGCACCCCCATCCTGCAGAAGCTCTGCTCAGCAACCCAGAAGCCTCCCTGTAAGTCCTTTGATTTCCTCTCCCCTGAACTGACTTGCTGCCATCAAGGCACAGCCCAGCCTACAGGTCAGATCACAGGGCAGGGAGCCATGACCTCTAAGCCCAGCTCTGAAACCAATTCCCCATAGTGGCCACTCGGCCCTTCCTCACCCCTGCCGGGTAGAATGGAGGGAACTATAGAGACCTCCTCCCTTTCACCCTGGGTCCTTTGGCAGCACCCAGCTCCAAGGGCCCAGACCCTGACTGCCACCTCCAGACACTACCATATTCCTACCAATAAATGAAGTGGGAAAAACTTGGCACCCCAAGCAGGGTCTCCCCTTCACCTGCCCCCCCCCCTCCACATGCCAGACTGGGCCTCACCGTCACGGGACATGCCGACCAGGAGACACTTCTTGAAGCGGCACTGCTGACACCGGTTCCGGTTGATCCGGACAATGGAGCAGTTCTCATTCTTCAGGCACTTCTTGTACTGGATGTTCTGCTGGATGCTGCGGCGGAAGAAACCCTGGAATGGAGAGCACAGGGCAGAGGAGGGGTGAGTTGCAGGGGCCAATGCTGTGATCTCTAACAGTGATGGAGGCCACAAGTGGGAACAGGCTGGGAGGCACAGCTCCAACCCCACACTGGAGCCCTAGGCTTCTAGTGTCTCATGCCCCCAGTGCTGCACCCCAGATCCATCTCAGGGTGGCCACCCAACTTTACTCTTGGGAACCCCTCAATCCACCTCCCCCAGCCCACCAGGAACAAACTTATGACAAACAAGCTATGCAAGAAAGCAGGTGGCCTACAGTTCTCCATCAGTAACAGGTTCTAGCCACGTCCTCATCCTCCCCTTGACTCAGGAAAAATAACCAGCTGAGGCTGAACATCTTTCAGGTCTGGCCCCTGCCTCAACAGTGAAGTTCCCCAGAACAGTGCAGCTGTTTGCAAGTAACACAAGGAGCCCGGAGGGGGGAGAATCCTCCTTCCACTGTTGTAATATGAGGCCCAAATCATTCTGGGATAAAGCAGCCACTTGATCCTGGCAGTCAAACTTGGCTTGTTTTTGCAATCCCTGCCCAAGACGGTGGGAGGGATGAACCAACATGACAGGAAATTTTGAAGAGAAAGATTTTCCCAGAGTCCAGCTGGAAGGGCTTTGGGTGCATCCCTGCTACTTCTCCAGTGCTCCTGCAGGGGGTGCTCTCACACCCACTGGCAGGGGATCATGCCTAACCAAGATGCTAAAAGGAGGATCCTGATTCCCATCCATATGAAGCTGAGCTGAACCCCAGAAGTGCCCCTCTTTTCCCCCAACTGCACTCAGAGCTTTGCAGGTGCCACCTATGCCATGTCTCCCTCTCTGCCCTGCCCTGTCCTTTACCTTGCAGCCCTCACAGGCATGGACCCCATAGTGGAACCCGGAGGCAACATCTCCGCACACTTTGCAAAGCAGGACCATCCCGTTCAGCTCTGCCAAGGGAGAGAGACACCCAGGTTAGATCCCATCTCCGTGCACCAGCCCCTGGGAAGAGTGGTAAGCCAATCTGTGGGTTGTGGGGTGGAGCTCCTTCCCTGAAAGTGCCCACAGGGGATACCTGGCCATGTGTGTCCCCACCCCACCTTGTAGGAAGGAGGAAGTTGTGGGCTTTAGGATCCCCCACAGGCAGCTCCATACTGGGCAGGCCACCAGGGCCATGGGGCAAGAGCAGAAACCTGGCTGATCTGATGGAAAGGAGCTGAGTTCTGGCCCTGGGTGAAGAGCACCAAAGCACCCCAGTGCCCACCCCAGGAAGACCCCTCTGTACTTCCAGCCCTGCACTCACTTGTGATGCTGCTGGTGGTCTTGCTAGGAGAGATGCGCCTGCCATCATCCATGGCGACCTGCAGGCCCCCAGGGGAGGTCCCAGAAGAGCCATACGAGGAAGAGGAGGACGAGGAGGATGAGGAAGGGGAACCATCCTCCCGGGAGCCCAGCACTCCCCCGCCATACGGCCTCGTGTCCTGGATCAGGGAGCCAGTGGGCGAGGGTGGGAAGTAGGAGGGGAAAGCCTGCGAGCCACACTGGAAGCTGCCGTTGGAGCTGTCACTGCACAGGGAGACAGGACTGGTGCGGCTGGGGGAGGAGCCACTGGAGCCCACATAGCTGATCACACCACCTGTGAGAGAATCAGAGAGGGTCTGGGTTAGAGACCAGGGAACGGTGCCCCATCACAGTACAGAGCCCTCCAACCCCCCCAGTCACAGAGCATGAAAGGAAGACCACATGGTTCGGGATGAGTGGGGAATGGGACACAAGGTGCTGCCTTGTAGGGGGCACTGGCTCTAGTAAGGCCAAGAAGCAGGAGGCAGGTGGGCTGAGTGGGTATGGGAAGCACCCAGGCAGCCCTCCCCTCTACTGGGTCCCAAGGTGGGGGCACTGGCTGGTTCTGGGGAGGGTCAGGGGACAGGCATGCATGGCCCTTCCCCTCTAGGGGGCGCCAACTCCAATCTAACACAGCCATAACCAAACCCCTTCCCACCAACAGCTGTTTGGTGAGCCACCTATGGCATGAGTTGGGGGTCTCAATCCAGCCCCACAAGACAGGTAACTGCATCCCAATACCCCTTCTTGTACACATGGGTGGGTCCCCCCTGGTTCACTGGATGCAAGGAGTGAAAGGCTCAACACTCGTCCTGTCTCTCATGCCCCCCCATACATACATGCACATGCATGTAGTAAGCCTATGCATGCACCCCTGCCCATTCCTCTGTGAACACATGCACACACCCCTGGCATATAGGCATGCTAATCCCATGCATGCGCACAGACATGCCCTGCACACGCTTGCCCCCCGCCCCGGTTCACTGGGTGCAAGGAGTGAAAGGCTCCCAGCCATTAGACCCAAGAGGGGCGCCCAGTGGGCAGTGCTCAGGCTCCCTGGCACATTGGGAGCCATTTCCACTGTCCCCCTCCACCCTGGATCTCAGCTCCTCAGGGCTGTGCTCCCACCAGGAGTACAATCCCTCAGGGCAGCAATTCACCCAACCCAGCCCTTGCCAGATCTCAGCACCAGGCACAGGCATGAGTGAATTCAACCTCACAACCCCTGCCAGGTTGGCATCACCCCTCCATCCTCCCAGAGAGAGGGGCTCAGCCCCATGAAGGCACCTACAGCAGGGAGCTGTGGATAAACACAGTGGCCATGCCCCCTCTTCCTCACTGCCCTGCTTGGCACTCAGGTGGCTGGGAGTAAACTCTGTAGCCCCAGAGCTGGGTAAGCTGAGAGCTAACTTAACTTGGCGGGAGGGGAATGACCAGCCCTATCCATTAGGTCTGAGCTCCGGTGCTCAGATAAGGGGCATGACAGGACTCGAGGGACCCCACTCCGCTGCAGCTCCTTCCTAGGCTGTGGCTCACCAGCCAGTCAAGAGTTAAAATCCAACCTCAGTGACATTCCCCCCAGCCCAAGGCTGGCACTCTGTGTGCTGATCCTTGGTGCAAGGAACAACTCCCCCGAGGTTCAGCCTGAAACATCCTTGGGCTACATCTCCCCCTCCCCGCCCCCCTCTGCACTGCAGTGCAGTGGCAGCTGCTGCTGCGGAGCACCGCACAGGTACAGCAAACCCAGCGTTAGCATTCCAGCCGCGCCAAGGACAGGCAGGACGCGGTGGAGGGCGGGGGTGGTATGGGGAAGGCATCTCCTCTCCATTTCCCTCACCCCTGCCGCAGGCAGACACACCGGGAGGGGTACAGTCATAATGAACTTCTACAACCAGTGAGATTAGACAGCAGTACGGAGAGGGCTGGGGAGTGGGTGTGTGGGCAAGGGGGTCGGGGCACACACACATATAGGGACATGTGCTGTGTGTGTGCACAGAAGGGTGCACGTGTGTCTCATGAGCTGGGTGCAAGCATGTGCATGCAAAGCTCCACACAGGGGGTCAACAGATGTGCACACACATGCCTGCACGCAGCAGGGGCCAAGCATGTGCACGGCATATCTGTGTGCATGCATGGGATTAGCACGCATATATGCCAGGGGGATGTGCATGTGTTCACAAAGGAATGGACAGAGGTGCATGCATAGGCTTGCTGCATGTATGTGCATGTATGTATGGGGGGGGCATGAGAGACAGGACGAGTGTGCTGTGTGTGAAAGCTGTGCATGTGAGTGCCAGGGGGTGCATGTGTTCCTCAGACTACCCATGTTCCCCAGCACCATATTCCTACACAGACTGCAAAGATCTGCAGAGTTCCCCCAGTCCCTTCAAGGGAATGGGGTTTGCAAGCCCCAATGGGGATGTGCAATCTCATGCATTTACAAAAGCTCTACCACCCCTCTCTTTCCCCCTTGGGGTTTGAAAGGCAGACATCCCACAGTCCCAGGTGCCCCCAGAGGTAGCTAGCTAGCCCTGGAGAGCATCCCACAGCCCCAGCTGCTTCTGGCTCTGAGGAACAGGGCTCACCAAGGATCTGGAGGCCAATACACAGGATGGGAGCCAGGAGCCCCATCCTGGAAAGCTGGTGCTTGACCAAAGCACCTTTGTTTATCCAAGGGATGGGAGCGGCTGTCATGCTCAGCAGCACTGCAGGGGGAAGGTAGACTCCTAGGGGGATCTGGGGTCACTCAGGCCACTGCAGAGGGAAAACAAGAACCAGAAGGCAGTTGGGACTTCCACTGCCTTGCACATGGCAAGCAGCAAGGGCGGTGGAGAGCCAGGAGCCTAGAGCACAAACACCAGCCGCATCCCAAAGTGGATGACAAAACGCGGGGGCGAGCACATGTGCGGGCTCTGCTGACACAGGGGCCAGTTGCTACTAATTGCTCCAACACGCCTAGGGCTTGGCACACCCTGATCACAGCCGCTGGTGACCCAGAAACATGGCCAGGCCCTGTGACTGGGTCAGTGACCGATGCTGGCGACTCATCCATGCTAGGTCACCAGCCGCCTGCACGTGCCGCGGCAGAGCCAGGAATGATAATACAGGGAAGTCACTAAGGAACTGCTCACGGGGACTGGTTACAGCCATGCTCGGGAAATGCCTCCCTCCCTCACTGCTGTTGCACATTGGGGAGAGGAATGTGCGTAGATTTCAGTGTAGCATCAGGGCCAGATCCAAAGCTGGGCTGGTGTAAATCAGTGTGAAAGCTGCACTGATTCACTAGTCAGGGACCCAGCCCAGCTCTACGGAGCAAAGCCAGCTCTGGCAGTGGGCTTACAAGAAAACACAGCCCCTGTCCCAACAATGTAAATGGAGGGGGTGCCCCTACACCTTCCAGCTCAGAGAAGTTTTTTTGGAAGCAGCTCAAGGGGGAAATCAAGCAGCTGCTCTGATTGATTCAGTGAGAACAGCAATGCAGCACTGAACAGGGAATGCAGGAGAATGACAAGAAGCCAGCTCTTAACTGGGCTGAAAGTAATTGGCACAGTTCTAGGGGCTGGCAGGGGGTTGGGTTAGTGGAAGGAAATGGCAAGAGAAAACAAAGTTTTATTTTTTAAACACAGAGTTTTCAGGACAGGTTGAATGAGTCAGAGGGCAGGGCAGGGTGGGTGTGGGGCCCCAGGAAGGGAATCCCAGCAAAGCCAGAGGCTCTAGCAAATATGTAAGGAAATAGGATGCAAACTCAGCTCCTCCAGCCTCCGTCCCTGCCCACACGCCCTCAGCGCAGGCTGCTCTCAACTGCAGCGTCAGCTTCGGTGCATTTGTTTCCTTGTCTTTAAATAGCCCAGGCTGGGAAGCAGATCTCAGCAAGCAGGCCACAGGAACTGTGCCCCTCCAGCCCACTCCCCTTCAGCCTGGAGGGAGGGGGGAGCTGTGAAGGCTGGTGCCTTCCCCAGGAAGTGCCTCTGAGGCACAAGGGTGTGTACGAGGACCTGAACAGGGACCCTCAAAATCTCCACACCCAGCTGGCAGACAAGGAACAGACATGACTTCCCACGACACCCATCTCCCCGAGATGAGTAAGGAGCATCTGGACACGTGGCCAGAACAGCTATAGCACACGAGCTCTGAGCCAGGCCATGTGTCACTCGGCCCACAGGGCATGTCTAGCAGATGCCCCTGACACAAGCCAGCCTGCAACGGGGCAACACTGGGGGCAGGGGAGCCTGCTTGGTCACTCCACTACGGTGTCCCATGACAGTCGGGGTGGACAGGGGTTATTAAGCCACTGGGGCATCCACTTGGGGGCATAACTTCCATCCATCTGTATCACAGGGAGACACTGCTGCCTTGGACCAGTTCCAGGGAGGATACAGTACTGGAACACGATGTGGGGTCCTGGCCCGAGCTCTGCCCCTGTGACCTTGGGCAAAACACAGAGGGCCGCAGACTTGCGTGGGTGTCTCCGGGCCAAGCTCTCATTGAGGGTAAAGGGAGATGGGTGCCTAAACCCCTTGGCCATCCAGCCCCCTGGGAGCCTAAACCCCTTGGCCACCAAGCCCCCCTCAAAGGACACCCCTTGGGTGTCCATTCTTCTCCAGGTGCCTAAACCTCTTGACCTTCCAGCCCCCTTTGTACCTAACCCCCCCCACCACCACCCCCAGGTGCCTAAACGCGTTGAGCACCCAGCAGCTAGTCCCCCTGCCCTGGGGATCAGGCCAGTTACTGCCCGAGGCAGAGGGTCTGCGGGCGCACAGAAGCACCCTACAGGCCCCCAGCTCCGAAACACGCACCCCGTGGGGATCCCGCAGGCGCCCCAAGCCCCGGGGCAGCCCGGGCCCTGCCGGAGCCCAGCGCCGTGCGAGTGTCCCCGAGGGGAATCCCGGCCGCAGCGCCAGCACCCGCCCAGCTCAGGCGGCCGCACGTCCCACCTCCACGTGTTCCGGCCGCACGTGGCTACTCCTCCCGGGGCCGCCCATCACGCTTTGCCCCGCCCCCGGCTCCCCATTGGCTGCACAGCCTCCCCGCGTCACCTGCGCCCCGCCCCCCCAACGGCCCCGTTATGCCGTCACCGCCCTCTTTCACCCCCCTGCCCATTGGGGGCGAGGGGAGCGCGGCGGCGTCCCCGCTTCCGGGGGGAACGTCACTGGAGCCCGGTGGGGCGGGGCCTGAGGGGGAGCGATGATGTAATGGGGGCCGGCGACCAATGGGAGGGGATGGGGCGGGGCCGCGAGGAAAACAAACCCTGCACGTGGCAGCGCCAGGGAGGGGGACACGTGAGCCAGGACGGAGCCCGGGGCAGGAAGCAGGGGCGGGGAGAGGGGGGGGCGGAGGGCGCCCCCCGGGGGACTCGGAGTCCCTGCGGCAGCGTGACAAGGGGTGGCGCGGGCGACCCCGGGGAGCACAGTCCCCATCCCCCCCCGGGGCTCCCTGCCCTCCAGCCTGTCTCCCTGCAGGGAGGGGGCGGCAGTGAGTACAGCCCCCCGGTCCCCAAGGTGCAGCCAAGGGCAGCGCGGAGCACCCGGGGGGGGGCGGGAGCGGCGGCGGCGGGCAGAGCTGCAGCCCGCACTGGAGGGGCCACACGGCGGAGATCGGGGGGGTCCCGGGTGGGCACGGGGGTGCCAGCCGCCCCGCTCGGCAGTTACCTGTGTTGTTGTTAGTGTCCGTGGCTGCCATCCTTCAGCGGCCCGCTCGCATTCAAGCCCAGCTGGCGGAGGGGGGCAGCGGAGGCTGCGACGAGCTCCCGCTCGGAGCACCTGGCCGGGGGCAGGTGGAGCCCGGCGCTGCTGTGCAACCCTTGCACTGGCGGGGAGGATGCCCGCGATCCTCGCTTGGCACCTAATCAGAGCCCGGCGGGGGGTGGTGGCTGCTGGCAGGGGCTGAGCCGGTGCATGCAGCAGACGGGAGCCCTGTGCGGCGCTGCCTCTCTCCGCCCTGCAATCCTGGACTGTGCCAGGGCTCTCCAGCGGCAGCCTCTTTGCTTGGGTCTCGCTGCAGCTGCGCAGTCTCCAGCACGCGGCTCGGGAGCATCCACCATGTGATTCCCAGGGAGAGCCTCGTGCCCCAGTGACACACTTTCTGCAAGCACCCGGCTCACGGACAGGCGAGCCAAGGCGCTTGCCCAGCCCGCTGCCTGGCGGGACTTGTAGTTCCCTGGGCTCTGACCTCAATCCCTTGTCTGTGTGGCTGGAGCATGTTGCTTTCTTCGGACG